CTCAGCACCAGCCGACCGATCACTCACCCCCCAAGCCCAACCAAGCTCCGACTGATACCTCCTCCAACCCTGCAGTCCCCCAGCCCTTCCGGCTAACTCCCAGTTACATCCTGGGCATGATGTGCTGTGGTATGGAATACCTCTTTGGTCAGTTTGGGTCAGGTGTCCTGTCTCTGCTTCCTCCTGGCTTCCCCTCCTCCCTGGCAGAGCATGAGGCTCACAAAGTCCTTGGCCAAACCAAAACATCTCTATCAGTTCTGTTCCCAGGCCGAAAGTCAAAACACTGCACTGCACCAGCTACCAAGAAGGAGAAACATGACTGCTACTGCTGAACCCAGGACAATGCCCCAGTCCCAATCACTGGCTTCAGACAACAAAGCAGCCAAACAGGGACCAAGAACAAAATGACTCGGGCTCATGGACCAGGTCCTATTGCTCATACATCACCTAAGGCAATCTTCCCTGGCACATATGCAGTCCTAGGGCAACAAACAGTTCAGTGTCTTTCAACTCAACAACCCATGCTTCAGCTGTGGGAGGAAGCAAGTTTCAGAGTGAAGAGGAAGCCTGGACAAGTAGTACCTCAGCAAGTAGTGACTCCTCTTGAGTCACTGAAGAGGCAAAATCTTTGCTGATGAAACTCTTGCACACAAACTGTGGGCAGGAAGTTTTGTGCTCTGCACAGACGGGGTAGCGTTAAGGGAAATGGAGGTCATTGAGTAATTTCAGTGCCTTCTGGTGAGGCAGGCTCTGCCACGTGCTGCTTTTCAGGGCTGCAGAGAAAACAGTCACCAGCCATTCAGCATTGACTCCTACCTTCCCTGCAGGACAAACAAAATCAAATGCCAGTTACCACTGTGCACGCAGGTGTGAAGGGATATTCTCAACTCCCACTCATGTGAAGAATTGCAATGGCAATCAATCAGAGCTGGTTTATTTGAAACCTCTGGTTTAGGATCATTTAAGGTGAGGGATGCTGAAATTAATAGTAACAAGTAGGATAGCTTATATTTCCTTTAGCTCATTCTCATTGGGTTAACAGGAGCCATTTACAGGCTGCATATAAAGTCTTCAGCAACTCAGCCATCATGGCATGATGAGCACTGTAACTGCTTTAACAGCATTCAGCTACACAAGAATTAGATGTGCATGTGGAAGTGTACAATGAAATAGTGATGGTCAGAGGGTAGCCCAGCGATAGGAACAGCATGTTCATGGAAATAGAAGTTGGGCCTGAAGGAAGAGAAAAAGAGACTCTGGACCATGTTCTTGCTCAGAAAGCATATCTCAGCTCCTGCTGCCCTGTTTAGGCTCACAGTTACTATTGTTTCACAATGGGAAATGGCAGCTCTTTAGCAACTGGTGGCAGGTACATGAAAAGCAGTGCTCCTGAAAGAAAGAGTGACCCCTGGGAGGCTGATCAGAGAAACTGGTGAAGATGACACATATTACTTTATTTTGCCCATTCACTTCTTGTGCACGATACCCACTTCCATGCACACTATTTCCACTCCAGCTTTACCTGTATGGTGGCAGGATTCCTCTAGGAGGGTTTTCTTACCACACTGCCCTCCTAACTAACAAAATTATCGCCAGCCCAGACTCAGCTTTGAATCCTACACGCAGGGGAACTACTGACTGCAACTCCTCAGAAGAACTGCTACTAAGTTTAGGCAAAAAGGGCTTTTACCTGGGGCACTACAGGGACATGCTGCCTGCACAGCAGTGCAGTCTGTTCCTTTCATCCCCCACTCATGGATGGATAGGCTCCTGGCCAGGGGCACTGATGCTGCAGCCTTACAATGGCACTGTAGCAAAGGAGGTGCTCCAGCTTTCCAGAGGGCTGCAAAGGCAGCTGAAACGAGTGTACCAGAGAAGAGAGGGGATGCTCCTGGAGACTGCTTTTGATCATGTTTTTGCATTTATAGCCACAAAGTCTACAACTTCTAGACAAAGAGAAAGCTGACTTGGGGAAGTGACCAACCAGTGCAGACCAAACAAGGTCTGCAATGACATTTCACAATAAAATCATGAGAGGCAGAAAGAGCTGCACTCCATGAGGTCCCAAATGACGGCAGCACATCCAGGCTTTGAAATGTCATGGTCTGTTTTACCTGATGGCAGTGACAAGGCTGTACACAACACAGGGGCTCTGGATGACAGGCTGAATGGCAGAGCAGATGGACAGCACATGTGCCAGGAGGCAACAGAGGAACACAACATCTGCCCAGCCTATCAGCTGAGCACTGGTTGTTTAAAAGCATGCAAGGCCCTGCTTCTGCAGGTCTGCTGTAATAAGCAAGGAGAAATGGACCCAAGAGCCCACAGAACCAGCACGGGTCACTGACCAGCATGTCCAGGCACCGCACCATGGTTACCTGTGCTCTGCACATGCAGGTGAAACACAAACCACCACCCCCAGGTTGGGACCACTGGCTGCCCGCCCAAAGCAGCTCAGAGGGACTTTGGCTGCTCCCCATTGCTGTTCCTCCATGGCAAAGGCAGCAGCAGAATGACATGGAGCAGGCAGCCTCTCTGCCAGTAATGAACATGCAGGCTGATATAAAACCTTTGGCTGAAATAGCCAAGCCTCGGGATCTGGCTAGCAGTCAAGATCTATAAAAAGCCATTTAATAATCCCTCCTTCCTCTCTGCCCTGAGATGATTAGAAAGAGGATTTTATTATTTCACGCATCTCCCTGGAGAACTGTTCTCCCCACTTGTCTTGTTTTATGTAAGAGTTTATGGGGCAGTTGACAGTTCACATGCAAACGGTTGCTGTAATGATGCAGGCTGATCTCCTCTCCTGGCTGGGTATTCAGAGCCCAGCAAGCAGCTTTTCTGCTACAACTGACCCTGAACCCATGAAACAGCTAGAGAGCCATCTCTGTTTCAGTATTGCCATTCATTTAGGGAGATGCTTTTGCTGTTGGGTGAATACTTAGCAACCTGGAGCCTCAGTCACCAACCAGGCTCTTGTCAAATGACAAGGAGAATTTTGAAGGGCCACAAAAATGGGTGGGACTAAACTAAAATGGGCGTTAAGCTAGCCAGCATCCAAAGAACAGGGTTGAGGTCTCCCACACACTGGGATAAGACTGGTAAAAAAAAGCAAACAACTAAATTAATATTTGGTGCACAGTACGTTTCCAAGCAAATAATGAACTTTTGTACAACAGCATCCTCTGCTTCCCAACTGAAAAAAAGGGGGGGGGGGGGGGGGAAGTTTCTATACTGTCAATATTTTTAGCAGAAAAACATTATTTAGTGAGTTCTACCTGAATTGCTATGAAAAAAAGTACAGTTAAAAGTCCATGTAAATGCAGCCCCATTTGCAGCCCCAGGCTGGGGAGCACTTACCAATGTTCTCAGGGCACACACTGCATCCTACAAACAGCAGAACAAGATTAGGGTATCCATAGGTATAGCCAGATCACAGCTCCCCTCCTGCTGAACTGATACATCTTCCTCCACATCTGTATCATTGTTCAAATCACAACAGGGGCACCCAGGACCCATGCTTAGAGAATACAGATGTGAAGACTTATTTTACGGCTTTCATCAGATTCCTCCAAGGGTATATTCAGTTTCTCCCATTGCTCCCTGACAAATCCCATTCTAATCACCATTCCAACTCCTACAACCGAGCAGCGTCTGGGCCTGGGGCATGTGGGAGAGCTGACAGCAAACCTTACCCTAGCCAACAGCATCCTGGGTTGCCTTAGGATGAATGGTGCCAGCAGGTTAAACACAGTGATTCTTCTCCTCTAAATCCAGACTGCTGTGTCCAGCTCTGGGCTCCTCAGTACAAGAGACACAGGCATACTGGAGAGAGTTCAGCAAAGGGCTGATGACTAAAGATGACTAATGGGCTGGAGCATCTTTTGTATGAGTTGAAGCTCAGCGCTCAGACTGTTCAACCTGGAGAAGGGTTGGGGGAACTTTTCAATGTAATACCTGATGAGGGGGAAGTAAGGACCCAGACTCTTTTCATGGGTGCCAAATGATAAGAGACAGTGAGCACAAAGTGACATGTGACAGTCCATCTGAAGACAAGAAAACATCTTTTTACTGTGAGGGTGGTAAAATTCAGGAAGAGGTTGCCCAGAGAAGCCAAGTTGTCTCCAGCTGTGGAGATACTGAAAACCCAAACAGACACAGTCCTGGTCTGCCTGTTCCAGGTGACCCTGTTTGAGCAGGACTGGACTAGATAATTAAGAGGTTCCTTCCAACTTAAATAAGTCAATGAGGATAAAAACAAAAAAGAAAACAAAACAAATACCAAAAGAAAAAAGAAGGGAGGCTGGAACCTAGACCTGCCCTCAGACTGGTACATCACTACACAAAACCTTCACCTCTGTGGCAGCGAAGTCTCTACATTAAAATTAATTCATCTGTACTGACAGCATTGAAGGAGTGAAGTAAGATATTCTGCAAGCAAAGCTGCTCCATGGTGACACGCACTGTGCTTTTCAGGACACGAGAAAATACCCCGCATACTCACTTAGTGGGAGGTGTGATAAATTGCTCAGGATTAGCACACAGAGTGATGAATTGCTCAGTATGGGAACAAAATATACAGCCCAAGAAGAAAGAGACAGCTTTATTTAAGGAACTGAAGTGAGGTCTGGAAGGATGAAGCCAGCAGTTGCCTGAGGAGTTGTGTTTCTGTGAAAGTGCAATTCAATCCTTCCTGGCATAACACTGAGAAAAGAGCTGCTGGGACCAGCAGGTTTGTGCCAACTGAGAGGGTCCCTGCTTGCTCTCCTTCGAACCCAGCAGGGCTCTGATCAGCTCCACACTAGGGGCCTGTTCTTCCCTGATAAAGGGATCTTCCAAGAGCTGCAGAGTGCCAGCACAAGGATACTGGGAGGGACTGCTGTCCTGGCTCTCTGCAGGAGTCCATACAACATCTCTTTTCCTAGGGTGAGCCAGAACAAACCACAGGAAAAAAAAAAAAAAGGAAAGGGAAAAAAAAAAAAAAGAGGAGGGTTAAAAAAAAAAGAAAAGCTCTAAGGTACAGCTGGTCCTTTTCTTCAACTCACTCTGATGCAGGGAGAACACAGCCCAGTAGGCTTTACTCCACCCACAGCCATGACTGAGGATGCCCAAGCCAGCTTGAGTGTTACAGGGACTGACCAGAATCATCTGGTAGAGAGACCCATGAGTGTGACTGACCCGTTCCTCTTGTGAGAGAAAATGAGCTCAGGCACCACTTAGACTTAACATAATCTCCAGCCACCTCCTCTGTAAACAAAAACACTGCCTGGCTTATATAGCCAAGTCAAAGAGAATCAGATTCCAAAAAGAATCAACCCTAGTGGATTAGTACCATGGCTACGTTGGAGCAGCTGCCTTCAACCAGCCATGGTCCCACAAGCCACTGTAACCAATGAACGTTGATCATGCAATAAGTAGTAACAGAGTTGCTCTGTTGGCACTGGGCTGGGTTTTGGAGTTTCCTCTTTTCACAGGCAAGGCAGCAGCCAAGCAGGCTGTTTCACAGGTGATCAGTTCTTCCATCGGATTTGCTAGAAGAGAGAATGAGACATGACTAACATCAGTGTTGAACACAGATGCCTCAGGACCAAGTCAGTTGTCAGGAATTGGGAGTCCCAATCCCTGACAAGAACAACTATGGCCAGACGGTGCTATTTCTATCAATTTCACCCTTCATTCCCATACTGAATGCAATCCCAAAGGTAAGATTAGCTTCCCAGCAGGGATAAAAGTATGTAGGACAGCCACACCCTTACACCTAATCTACAGCCATTTCTGATGAAAGTCTCTGGCAGAAAAAGTAGATGTTTCTTACCGGGTTGCTGAGAATGCTGTTTATCTTCTCTTCTTCTGCAGAGCCTCGCTCCACCTTGCATTTATATGCTGTCAGCTGGATGCGATCCTTTAGATCCTTATACGTCTAGATAAACAGCAAAACCAGCACCCAGCTGAGTGAAGAGGACACTTACACATTTAGATGGTGTCCTGGAGATGAGCAGGGCAACTCTTTATTCCCTCCTCAAGTTCCCACCACAACTCTTCATCCCTTCCTCAAGTTCCCACCACAACTCTTCATTCCCTCCTCAGGTTCCCACCACAGCACCACAGCAAGTGAGCCACTAGGAGCTATTTTTCTGGCTCACTTGCTTTCCACCAGGAACCGTATCACTGCTCCCAAGCAACAGGGATAAAACAAACCCCACAAGGCACATAACAGCAATGGCACATGGCAGAGCACAGGAAAGCTAGGGAGAAAAAGACTCTTGTCCCATCTCTTCACATACAGGGCAAGGATCTACCTCAATGGCAACATCATGGCACTTGTATTTGGTGGCCAGGCTCAGCCGTGTCTCCACATCCTCCACCAGGCGCACATACTCCTGTAGCACCTGTGAGGGAAGGAAAAGTCTCTCAGCTCCCTTCTGCAGGTACCCACTGCCTCCTTCTCTCACTCCAGTCACAAAACCTATCAAGGTCACTGGTCACACAGACATGACCCCTTCTTTCCTAGGGCAACAAGCTACCAGGACAAGACCATTCAGGGCTCCAGAGGCAGTAAAGCTTTGCTCACAAAGCTCAGAGTCCTAGGCTACCTTGTTCTTATGGATGGGGTTAACCATTGCCAGTCAGATTAAGCAAAAAAAAAAAAGTTCATGTAGCAAATGAAGGTGGCAGTGCACCATGGGGAGAAAGATGCCAGACAAGTGTAGCCCCACTGTCCGTCTCGCAGTCAGACCTAGGACCCAGCCCTCACTACCATCCCATAGCTCAGCAAGCTGTTCCCCTCCAAGCTAGGAAGAGGCTCATTTGGGGAATCATTCACACACCAAATCCCAACAAAGAGCAGGAGGACATAAGCAGCAGGTCCTTGCTCACCTGCACAGGAGCACTGTTCCTTTGCAAGATCTCCACCACCCGGTGGAAGCCAATCGGTGCCTTCTTCTTGGTGTAGCCCAGCCAGTTCTGAAATGAGAGCCAAACCCTCTGTTAACCCTAAAAGGTAATCCCTCCAGCCACCAGAAAATGCTTTTCCCCAGTGCCACAATGTATGACACCAACCACCGCGTGCACCACAGGCAGAGCCCTTCATCCAATGGCTGGGAGCAGGCTGGCTGAAAACCCTTTGATAACAGAGCAGGAGAGCAGAAAATCCCCTTCTCTGACCTTGGTGCTGCAACCAAACCAGTCCCAGCAGAGAGGTCTTAGGCAGGGAGAGAAGGAATGTATTGCAGCAGAGGTGCTGGGCCCTGATGAATTAAAACCAGTCTTGTCTAGTCACTCCAGAACAAGCCAGCTATCAGTAGTAGATATCAGTACCTGGAACAGAGTCCTCAGCAAGGCTTTCTGCAGCTCACCTTGGTAGTGAAGAGGGCATCCACATCATCCCAGGCTCGCAGCTTGGCACGGGCAGCCAGGGCAGTCAGAACATACTGCTTATCAGGAATCTGCAAGGCAGAAAACTGCAGTCAGAGCACCAGCACAGCTCAGAAGGCCTGTGTGGGTTGGGTAGGAATGGCATCTGCCCCAACCCTGTCAGGACCCTCACCAACAGCCAAGCAAGGAGAGGTACTGCCTGAGGCCAGTGCCGGCACTGCAGAGAGCAGGAGGTGGGGACTTGCAAGTGCTGCTGCAGCCAGGGTACACTCAGTGAAAGCTTCCACATGGCTTCCACTTTCCTTTCTGAGCCTCCAGAATGGCTCTGCTCGAGAAAGATGCTATGCCCCCCTCCCTACCTCAACACTGAGTTGCTCAAACTCTTTCTACCCAGCCCCTTTGCTAAATACAATTTGGCTGCCCACATTTTAAAGCTAGCATTGATAGGACAGCAGGAGACTCACCTTAAATGTTTTCTTTAGGTTGGTGGGGCTGCTGAATGTTCCCTAGAGAGAGCAGACAAGTCAGTGCAAACTCAGCAGGCCAGGCGAGGGGAGAGGATACCTCTTGTAAGGCGATTGCCTCACACAGGGTGAATCTCCCCAAGTTTTTACTGCTTTTTGCTCATGTCAGTGCCACAGAAAGAACAGCTGGCAGAAGAGAGCAACTATCCCACCCCATCAGCACTCTGGTTTGGTTTCCCCTACATCCTCAACTGGTGCACATCCAGCACTTCCAAAATCAGTATATCATTCTCTCAGACTCATGGGATTAAGGGCCAATTCTGACTTCTGGAAGAAACAAAAGACAGTGATTTCCAGGAGGCAACTCCCTGACATGCTGTCCCAGGTTCAATGTCCCACCTTGGAGCACGAAAGAAAACTCCAAACTGGTCCCAGATGGACAAAGAGCGTTGACTTTCTCCAGGTTTCTCTGAGGGATAAAACATGACCTGTCTCCCCCTCTTTCTTTAATATGCCCCAGTTTAACCACCCACATGCTGAGGGATACAGAGACGAGACATAACCATTATCCCACATCACTCTCACCTCAGCCTCTGTGTAGTGGTAGAAACAGGAATAGAAGAGGGTGGTCACTAATGGCATGTTGAGAATTGAAGCCTTGCGAGGATATTTTCTAAATATCTCTGACTGCCCAGACATCTCCAAGTGCCGGTCGTTGGTCTGCGGAATCAGGAAGAGAGTGAACATGAGCCATGGCAACTGCCTGACCTAGCTGCAGGGAGAGACCTGGAGAGAGTGTTGTGACAGCAATGCCTCAACGTGCCATAAAGTCTCATATCTAGTATTTCACACACATGCCTGGTACAGCAGCTTAGACAGCAGTTAAACCATACTAGCCAGGGCAGGCTCAATAGATCCAAAGTTGTATATGTCAGGAACATACAGAGGTCTTGCAGCTAGTCCCAGTCATCTCCCACGGGAAAGATTTCATACCTCAATGATGATCTGTCGCTCCAACAGGGTATAATGGTCTTGGATATGAGAGGTATCCTCAGCTGAAAATGGCAGCCTGGTCAGACATGGAGGGAGGAGACACTGTCAGCAACTCTTAACAAGGTACACTTAGAAGGGTGCTCTTCTCTACCAAACATCTTCCCCACAGATCAAGATGTGGCGAACACCCCCCCTTCTCCCCACTCTGAGTGGCTAGTACTCAAGCTTCTGCCCTGCTGCCCTCTCCAACTGGCTCTCTACTAGGAAGGCTTCAGAAAAGGCAAAATTAAATGACACCTCTCACAGAACACAAATAGCTGATGCTACTGTGCTCAGGCACCCAAGCTTTCATCCTTCACAACCCGAAGGGTTAATGTTCAGAAGGTTCCTGAAGCATCTTTGCCTCCAAGTAAGCAGCAAATGCTGCTGGACTAGCGATCACAAATTCTTCCTCTCTGGTCTACAATGTGTCCATAACACCCCATGCCCACCGAGGCAAAACCAACATCAGCTCTCAAACTACATAAGCCATTGCATTGTGACAGAGGTCTAATTTTCTTTACCACCACCTTCTGTGAAGCACTGACATCCCTCCCACCCTCCTGCATTTTTTCTTACCCAATGCAGCCTTTCAGAAACTCCCTCCTTTTTTCCACATCCTGTATGTTCAAATGTTCCCGGTACTGGGACAGCTGGAGGGAGAGGGAAAAGCAGCACAGTCTGTTCTCATGGATTTGAGAAATACAGGACTCCAGAGGGCAAAACAGGAATGCAAAGCTCTTGGTGACTAGCAGACACCTTGCAGCTGGCCTCCCCCTGCACGCTACACTCCCTCTTTCCTGAGGAAAGAGAGCTTCTGCTCCTGGGAATACTTACAGCAACTTCCTCAGTCCTGTCTAGGAACCTGCAGAACAGAATGAGCAAGCATTAACTTGAAGGCAGGATCCTGGCAGCGTGCTCAGCCCTGCCATGATGGTGGGCAAGAGTCTCACCTGAGCAGATCCAGAAGCAACTTCTGCTCACCCGTCTCTTTGAGGAAATGGATCAGATGGCACAAGGCCACCTGCCGCACCTCCAGCTCCCGAAACAAGATCTCTGCAGGAGAGAAATGTACACATGGGTAAAGTAAGTTAGCACTGCCAAGCCAGAGGGGGCCAAGCATGGTGCACAGAGCTGCAAGCCACTGGCGGATCCAACAACCTTATCCTGTCTCAAAACACAGTCTTGGAGGCTACAGCACAGGAGAAGAGCCCGTTCACTGGGCTGCCAGCTGAATTCACTCCATCACTGCTACCACTTACTGCTGCTCAAAACTCCTCTCTGGGGCCTTTATGGGCATTCACCGTCCCCCCTCCCATGTTACACTCACTGCAAAAATATTTCATGCTCAGTAAAGTAGCAGTATCTCAGATGCTCTCTTTGTGACTTTAGTTCAGTGACAGAACTAGCCCCTCTGCCCTTAACTGAAACACACAACAAAAACCCTGGCTCCAGTCGCACTTACCTCTCCTTAGCGTTCGTTTCAGGAATATCAGGACCTGTGAGCACAGAGAGGCAGCTCTCAGCTGACCAGATCAGTCTTCACCAGAATTAAAACAGACAGACAGCAAACTAGTCAAGGCCTGGGGAAGCTTTTGCAAAAGGCCTCTGAAGACACAGCTCTTACAGCCTGAATTCTACTATCCACCAGACACAGAAGAGGCAGTGAGCCAAGTCCACAGCTGCATGGCTAATCTCCCAAGTGATGAGACCAAGATTTACAAAGAAAAACCTTTCCATGAGAGATTCAAGGGCTTAAAAGACCTGAACGAGAGAAGATCTGACACAGTCCTATTTGTTGTCTGATGCTTTGGAAGACAGATAAACTGGAGGAACCCCTCAAATCCCCCATGCTGCAATGAACAAATTAAACCTTGGCATTCAAGAAATTGCTGCAAAGATCTGTAAGGCTGAAGGATCAGGTTCCTTGTTATTAACCTGGCATGAATTCTGCAGAGTGGCAGGAAAGCCAGAGGGCATATGGAATCCCCAGTCTTAAGCTTTTACACTTTTCAGTAACTTTTTCATTTTAAGTAAAGGACAACACCCCATCTTGCAAGATTACTCAGCCAGATGACTGCACGCACAAAAGCACCCGCTGTGAGGTCACCCAGGAAGTCCCAGCCTTATATGGCCCCAGCAGGACTCACAGCTGTAATGACGTTTCCGTCATGTCCTGCCACAGCTTCATCCAAGAGCACCAGCTTGTCCTGCAGCGCACGAAATCTTTCAAGAGAGCAGACCTGGAGACAGATGAGGTATTAGCAGGCTTATATGGGATACCAGACAAGCCGCAGGCTGAACCAACCCCCAAGGTACTGCTTATTCTGTTCCCATAAACCTTTCAGCAACATGAATAACTGCCCTCTTAACCAGCAGAGAGCTTCTCATTTAGCTGAAATCATATGCTCCATGATCCTTGGAAATCTGTTCACAAGGGTTGCAGAATTAGCTCTCATTATTGCCTAGGCTAGGAAGCAGACATTGTGTGTTCAGCACAAACACTCTTGTAGCAAGGCTAAACTTCCCTGCACAGTACAAACCACCAGGCCTGACAGAAGGAGGGAACTCTCCAGGGCCCTTTCCACAGGGGAGACAAGAAAAGCAGAGCTGTAAGACTTCCTCCCTTCTTACCCCATAAAGGCCTGTCAGCCTTTAGTTCAGCTGAGGCGTTGAGGAGACACGTGCAGGGTAAAACCACAAGCTGCCTGAATGTTCACTGAAAACTGAGACAGCTGAGCCTGATTCCAGCTCCAGTGTAACCAAGATTGCTTCCGTCTTCCTCCCTCCATTTGCCACCAACTAAGAAGCCCCACACCCTGGGACTTTTTTCCATAAACCCAGCCCCAAGGAGCAGAAAGGGTAGAGAAGGACACAGCAGCACAGATACCTCCTGTCAGAGCCTAGCTGAGGGGATGACTCAGGTAAATAATGCAACAAAGCCTTGCTGCTCCTGAGCTAATGGGAGCACCAACATTTGGCAAAGCAGCAGGCAACAAGACTACCCTGCTAGATGCTGCAAGTAACACGGGTCCCCTCCCTGGTCCTGGAACAGGCAGGAGCATCAGAAACTGTAAGCCAGTTTAGGACCACCCATCCTCTGTCTCTTGAAAGCAGGTGGGAGCAGAAAGTCCTTACCTTGCCCCTCTGCATGCGCCTGACTGTATCTTTGGGACTCCAATCACTGCTGTAATCCTGTCACAAGAAAAATAAAGAACTCTTGAGATTTGAGAGGCCAGATCATGTAAGCAGTCCCCAAGCTGCTTTCTGCTTGTGCTGGATCAGCATGGTGGCCTGTGTGTAGCTTCTGAGACTTATTCATCTGCTCCAGGGGGAGTTCGTAGTAGGATATGTCTCTGCAGTGTTCAGGTGCAAACCCTGCATGCTGGTGGGGAGGGAAGCTAGACACTCAGATGCTAACACAGTTTTTCTATTGCCTCAGTAAGGTCTGTCATCATATCCTTTATAACAAGTGCATTTCAACAGGTTGTCTTCCTTGCAAATTAAAGTTCCAATATTGCTTTCAGAAAGACAAGCAAAACGCGTGCAAAACTGACAAAACCAAAACTGAAGGGGAAGGAGTTTCCTGTTACAATTCAGACACAATTCTGCTGGTGAGCATTCCACAGCAATGTGGAGAATGCAAGGATAACAGTCTCAAACAAGAGCCTGGAGAGTTGCACAGGACTAGTATAACATGACAAAAGCACTGAAGCCTTTAGCAAAACTATCTTAAGGTTGCTGTCACTGCTCCAATGACCAAAGTTCTTTGCCTGCAGCTTGCAGACACTACAATCTGGAAGCACTACATGGCCATTCCTGAACTGAGGCTCCAAGAATGCACCCAAGTCTTTGTGAGGCACTCGAGCCAGTGGTTGTAATTCAGCCTTCCACCTCAAAAGAGCCAGAGAAAGGCAATAACCAGAACCACTTCTGAAGACATTGTATTTTAAATTCATTGAAGATTTATTGAAATAAAACGGATTCATCCAGCCCTGTTAGGGGACATGAGTCTCTCAAGTCAAAGTGTAGCTGAATGTCACATGTCCTGAGCATCAAGGTTCCCTCCAGCACCTGTGTCCAGTGGCAGCTCCTCAGCCTGTCACTGAGGCTCTTCAGCCTTTATTCACCACACTTACAATACTCCTGCCTGCTTTAAGGGGCTGTACAACCCTTTTCCTTCCTGCATCCCTGCCTCTGCATGCACAGAACAGAACGCAAGAGGGCACACTTATTTCTCCTGATTAGCAGGAAGTGCTGTCTGTTACAGCATGTGTTTAATGGCTAATCAACATAAGCACAACAACCTAGTAAGGATCAGATGGCCAAGGACAGGTGGAGAACATCCAAGAACCCAGTAGACGCAATCTGAGCACCCCAACTTGGCCACTCCTTGCCACCATCAAATGAGACAGATTAAGTCATTCCCCATTGCATAAAACCCGTCAAGATGAGTAAACCAAAGAAATTCTCCTTAAACACCATGCAACTCTGGAGGCACAAGACTTAGTATGACACACAAGGGAAAGAGAATCCTGGGATGTTTTAAGAGGGCTGTGTAAATGTGTGAGGCTTGTTACAGAAGTTTACGGGAAAGACAAAAAGCAGGGAAAGGGAGGGATCCTAATGAATAACGCAAGAACAAACATGGGAAACTAGAGGGAAAAGGTGCTACAGGGTGCCAGCTAAGTTAAACACGTGGCTAGTTAGTGTGCCTGTCTCATTGAGCCCTGCAATGAATCACTGCAGTCTGCCTTATATTCTCATTAAATTCTATACTTAACCACCTCCTGTGTGGGTAGGCTCTCTATTCCAAGTGTATTCATATGAATGCTAATAAACTTCAAGCTCAACCAGCCAGTGAGGAGAATAAGCAGTCTTGAGTACCAGGAACTGGAATGGGACCATGAATCCTAAGGGCTCAAGGGTCTAGGTGGCAGGAACTGGAGGATACTGGGGCCTGGGATTCAGCTACAAAACAACTGGTTGTCTAAGACCAGCTACTGGAGAGACAGTGCGTTCACTAGTGGAATTCAATCCTTGTCAGACAGAAAGGAGGCTCAAGATCGGGCTTGAATGTTGTGTGTTTATGTGTCTGCTGGTAAGGGCATTGGTTTCTGCCTCTGCTAATCCATGTGGGCAGCTGTGACAGTATTGCTAATGTCTGTATTTGTAGGGAATATGTGCTCAGTCCTCTCACTGGCTGGACCTGGGGACATGTAACTACAACTTCACACCTAGTAGGAGGAATCCACCCAGTCCCAAAGTCCACTAGATTCTACAACACCTAATACTGCCTGTTTGGGAGAACATTCCTGCTAACTGGAGCTCCACCTCTGTGCCACTCCCTTTTAGAAGCCTTTGGATATAAAAAATAAAAAAGCACACAAGATGCCAGCTCACCTGACCCAGCATGAAAGCAGCTTACAGGCAAAGCACTATTTAGAAATACTTTTCACAAAGACTGCTGGGCCATTCATTAGGAGAAGGAGTTAACTAAGACCCCGAGCAAAGCTCCCTGCTGAGCAAAAGCAGAGAACACCTAAATTCCTGTGAGGTTACATTTTGCAGCTCCTGTCCTATACCCTGCACTGTCCTCTGCTGTCTCAAATAGCAATTAATCACCTCCCATGAACTCAATAGAGGATGAAGTTCTCCTGGCAGTACTGTGAACTCAGCACATTACAAACAAAGGCTGCTCACCTTGTACTCAGCTTTCGGTCTGCGCAGCTCTGGGGCATAGTTTTTAACTCCCGTGTCAGAGAGGGCTGAAAGGGAAAGGCAAAGCCGAGTAACACATCAAAATCCTGATTCAGACACACCTCCAAAAACACATTCTCTTTTTTTCTTTTCTGTGGTAGAAGACCCAAACTCAAGCACCAACTGGCAATTCGAAGTTGCTCTGAACACACCAGCTGACAGCTGTGCATACGCAGATTACCCCAAACCATCACGCCAGCTCTTTCACTTCTTTACTGAACGGCTTTCAAGCAACCCATGATTCAGTTCCCTTTCTGCAACATAAGGAAGAATACACTTCCCTTTTATGGAAATGCTTTGGTTTACTTAAACCTGCACCTCTCCCAAAATGAGGCAGGGATTCAAAACTTACCATCTGAAAGGGACTGGAAACTTGGAAGTTTGTTTCGTCCTGAAATCAAAACAAACACTCATGAGAGACTGTCTATTTACCAGCAACATCTCTTGCAGAGGAAACACATGCCTACACTGCAAGCCAGTGTGCTACAGCTGTGCCACTGTAGAACAAGTCACTCTCTATAGTGATTCACACTACACCAGCATAGCTGGGGCTCACCTGCTTGTAGCCCAAGGCTTTGAAATTGCCTGTGGCATAACAAACCATACCACAGCCCAGCCCTATCTGCCCTCTTGCTGCTAAGGCCAGGAGAGAGCAAGCCTGAATTCGCTCATCTACCTGCAGAGCAGAGGCTCAAACACACAGCACTGCTTAGGCCATGGCAACACAGCCAGCTTCATTCACCAGGGCTGTGATTTGGATGCCTTTCATTATCACTGTACTATCAAAGTTAACAGTAAAAAAGCACCCCAGAGAGATAAAGTAAAAGACGTTTTGTTGCCCAGCTGGGAGAAAACAGAGCTGAACTCTTGCAAGCTGTGTAAGTCTCCAGACAGCCTGCTGCACAGCTCCCCCGATAAGCAGCTATGTGACCACTGCTCCTACCACTGATGTTATACTTTGCTGGCCAAACTGTAACATCAGCAACAACCTACTGAAAGCCAAATAAAGGATAATCAACCTGTCTTCTCTACAGTACTGAAGATCAAATAAGGCTCACATGGGTTAAGCCAGTCCCTTTTTAGCCTGCTGTTTTCCATGCAAATGGATTGCTGTATAGTGCTGTGTTTTACCTTGGTGTTCTGTGGCAACCTGGTTTTTAAAGAGCCATTATCTCCAAAACACCCTCCCATACCATGAGAGCGTATGATCTGCACAAGACAATCTCCAATTTCTGACCAGTAGGACATACACTCTCACACTGAGGAGAGATCAGAGCTTCTCTGTTTTGCAATACGCTTGAGAAAAAACAATTTACACTAGATAACACAATGGCCCCTTGGCACTCCTGAAAACCCATTTGTCTACATTGGGCATGAGCCATCTCACCTTTGAATAAACTGCTTAGAGAGTAGGAGGAAACTTGTTTGGGAAAAGCAGCATAGGAGGATGAGCCTTTCTGTAGGCTGGAGTCTCGGCCCTCCAGTGAGCTGGTGCTGCTGGAGGCTGTCTCTTTGATTGACCAGGAGATACCTATGTGCAGACAGAAGTAATTCGTAACAGAGAAAGAGAAAACCAGTCTGTAAAACATGATCTTATGGCACAGCAGGAATGTTATCAAGCGTGTCCTGCTCAGTTAGCTTTGCACTAGCACATACTGATAACTATGACTCTCAGCACCAAGCAGATGCAGTGCACAGAATCCTAATCTCGTGTAACAGTGCTTGTTAAACATTGCACATTCTCCTCCAGAAATGGTTGATTTCACCAGTGTTGTACAGCTAGTTATGGCTTATATAAAAAAATGCACAGGCCACCCAACATTTTTATGTTGTTGCATATAAAGTATAGGCAACAAAGGGATAATCCTTGTTCTAAAGGTACAGAGCAAGACAGAATCCCAGACTTTCCTCAAGTTACAGAAGCATAAGAGCATACCTTCCTGAACACTGGAAAACTAAGACAGTTTTCCTCCCCACAGAGCCAAAACATATCTCAATGTGGATATGCATATGCTGCCAGTAACAGTGCACATGTCTTCCTCCAGCTTGTTTGAGACAGTTTCCCTATTTTTCATGCAGCTGCACAACACACACATTTGAGGACAGAGTGATGATAGAGCAAAAAAGCTGACAGGTAGAGGCCTCGGGCAGGAAATGAAATGGCCTGAACCAGAGGGAGGAGCTACAGCACAGGACAAGAACAGACTCTTAGAAGGTCCCCCGGGTGATCCAAATGTAAATTTCCACTGTCTGGAAATTTACTTGGCTAGCTAGTACCACATACTCTGTGGGTCAGGAACTCCAAAGCACAGGAGAACATATAGTCTGTGTGTTGTGAGCTTGCTCCCACCACCACTAGAAACACATTTGCTTAATGCTTACAATTCCCTTTCAAACTTCAAGCATAACCGTCAGCCTACAAACATACACTAAACCTTGGAGTGTCTCCCAAAAGCGCTGTGGGGACAAAGCACAGAGAACTTTAAATGGTGCCATTTGAGGCAGCAGCGTCAAGGAAATGATCACCTAGAATCCTGCAGGCCAGCTGAGGATGATAAATATCATGCCATAACCTCCAAATATCTGCCCTAAGCTGGGCTATGTATTAGGAAAAGCACAGTGAATTCCCTCCACTTGTCTGCATTCCTTGATGTAATTTGGGCTTCTGCTCAGTCTCCAGTGAATCCACACAGGTAAATCAAGTGGCTCACAATGTGACCTGAAGAGACTAGAATTAGATTTGACATGCAGGATTAGATAACAAGTAGTATTCCTGAGCTCAACTCAATTATGTGGCTTAAGTGTTAATTTTCAACTCCCTCTGTCTCAGGATAATTTGCAGCACTTCTTGCACTTACTTCCCACAGGTTCTCCACTCCAGCTGACCCTCTCAAGGTCGTCATCATCATCATCGACGATATCCCGAAGGCTATTCACTGCCTGCTTGGATTCCTTTAGCTAAGGACAAGGGAAAGGGCTTGTATAAAGATCACCAGTGTTGCAGGTGTGCTTTGTTTCCTATTTCCTTCAAAAAACATCCTTCAGAGCTTTGAACACAGCTTCTTCAGCTTCCACTGCCTTTTCTGGAAGAGGCATTTTATGCCTGTAGGTGTTCAACAGACGCATCAGCCCTTCCTCACCACCGGGAGCCCAAAGGCCACTGACACAGACACTGACAGGTCAGCGTGCAGAAGGTGCAGTCTGGTGCGCAGGTGAGGAACCACTGTCTTAATGAGATTTCGGACTAGCCACCATGGGGGACAAGCCGGGAACCGGTGGTGACCTCCACACAGGGCAAGAGGCAACATTCCATCCCTCCCTGCCCCGAAACACAGACCCTCAGCGGAAAGCAGGGCCGAGCCCACAAGAGGCTTCACCCGAGGATCTCACACTGAGCCGCGGCAGAGGCGGGCTCGGACCCTACCTGTGAGAGCTCGTCATCCTCGTCATCGAAGGTGAAGGCCCGGAACTTGGAGCTGTGCCAATACTCCTCCTCGTCTGCTCGAACCCTGCTCATCTGCAACGGCACCGCGCGGCCACCTCAGGGGAGGTCATGGTCACGGCCCGCTTGTCCCGCCCCGCCGCCCCCCGGCACCACTCACCTCCCCGCGCCAGGCACCGGCTCGGCTCAGCACAGCACGGCAGGGGAGGGGAGGAAGGTGCGGCTGCCGCGCAGGACACTCCGGGATCAGTAGTCCCTGTGCCGCGGCACAGTGCGGTGCGTTCCGGCCCGCGTACTACCAGTACCGGCGTGCCCCGCGCCGCCGCACCACCTGCCCCGCCGGGCGGTCCTGGGTGGGCTGCTGAGGGCTAAAGTGCCGGCAGCCGGGATCGGGGCGGTTGCTTGGCGCGGCGTGCCCGGCTCCGGGGGGTACCGACCGGTGGGGGCGCGGACGGGCCAGGAGCCAGCCGGAAGCGGGGCGGCGGAACCAAGCAGCTGGGCGGTGCGCGCGGCCGGGCGAAGGGCGCCGGAAGGGACCGGGCCGGTGGCGGAAGCCGGGAGGTGGCGCGGCGGTTCTAGCAGTTTCCACGGGCGGTCGGTGCGGAGGAGGCTGCGGTCTCGATGGCCAAGTGGGGCGAGGGGGACCCGCGGTGGATCGTCGAGCAGCGGGCGGACGCCACCAACGTCAACAACTGGCACTGGTGAGCGCGGCGGCGATAGCCGCCCGGCAGGACCCTGTGACCCCGGGCGGAGGAGGCCGATGCCACGGGGAGCGGCTCTCTTTCTCCTTCCCCTACTTGGCGTTGGTGCTAAGGTGCGGCTGTCCGGGACGATGTCCCTTGAAAGCGGCCGTTTCCGTGTGCGTGGGGTGCCCATCAGTACTAAGAGCTGTGTGTGTGTGTTGGAGCGGGGCAGGGAGGAAGGACGGCCTGGGGGAAGGTTAGGTAGCCGCAGCTTGTTTTGGCGGTGTGGCCCGTCCCAGGTTCTCACAGCGCCCGGTTTTCCCGTAGGACGGAGCGGGATGCCTCCAACTGGTCCACAGAGCGGCTGAAAACTCTGCTCCTCCCTGTCAGGGTGGAGAGTGAGGAAGGGGCTTGTGAGGTGACAGAAGTGAGCAAACTGGATGGAGAGGCCTCCATTAATAACCGTAAAGGGAAGCTGATCTTCTTCTATGAGTGGGCTATCAAGCTGGCGTGGACTGGTGAGTGATGTGCTCCCCCACTGTTTCAAGGCTAGATTCAAGTATAAGATAAGGATACTTACCTCATTCGGGAAATAGTAATGAAGGGAAGTACTGTATTGTGATACAGGTTTGCTTTTACAACAACCAAAGTAAGAAATGTTGATCTGAAAAACATAATTGTAATTGCAGGCACCTCAAAGACTGGCGTGAAATACAAAGGTTATGTGGAGATTCCTAATCTCTCAGATGAAAATGACATCGATGAAGTTGAGGTGGGTACAGCATGCTGGCTATATGGCTGTTCCATCAGGAAGCCTCACAACATTAGTATTTTCTTTTGTGTTGCCTTTTCTGGACCGTTTGTTCAAAACTTCTTTAATATTAGAGGCTGCTTAAGTTAACAGAATCACAGAATGGTTTGGATTGGAAGGGTCTGTAAAGGTCATCTCACTCCATCCCCCCTGTAACATATAAGGGCTCTACAGCACATGAAGGTATTTAGGTTATTTGTGTACATTACTGTAGGCAGAACTAAAGTGAAGGATTAATAACACTGCACTGCTGCTTATGAAAGTGTAGTCAAAGTCTAACTGATACTGAATTGAGTAAGGAAAAGACCATGAAAATATGGCTTTGTAAACCAGCACTTGTCCTTCTTGTTTAGATCCTTGTCAGCCTTGCTAAAGATGAGCCTGACACTACCTTAAAGACCCTGATGAAGCAAGAGGGTGCAAAAAAAATTAGAGATGCAATGAAAACTTACATCAGCACTCTCAAAACAGGTAGGTAACTGAGAGGGAGAAGTGTTACGGGAACCCATATGGGCTAATGCTAAAGAAGGGGTGGGGGTAATGAGAGGAGTGAATATTAGTTCCTCACCCCATCTCAACAGGATGGTGTCAGAGCAACAACAGTAACTGTTCTGTCTCTTATGAAAATGGTGTTTGGCAAGAAGCACTTCTGTTTCTAGACACTGTAGAACAGCCCAGAGAGATTTATTAATAATCAAAAAATAAACACCATTTTTGGACTGATGTTTTAAAACTGAGAATATCCTCCACTTGCTGGAGCTCAGATACTGAGAAAATAAATCTAGTAACATGTTTGCTGCCTCAGTGACACAGAGCATCAGTCTCTGCCTGTGGCACAACCAGGTTGTGCCACACACAGAGTTTTGCTCTTTTGCCACGTTAGTAAAGGCATTGTTACCTGGATTTGAGAGTAACTGACAACTGGAAATTGCTCTGCAGCTTTTGTTGGTGTCATTGAATGAGCTATTTCAGCATCTGGATTAAAATTATCTTTTTAGAAGATAAATCTGATTCCAGCAGTTGGACTTAAATCATTGTGCTTTGATGGAGTTTGGCTTTGCCCTCTAGTGCAGGCTGGGATTGCTACAACAGCTTTTATATCCATTTACCTGTATTACACTACGCATGCTAGATACTCATTTTGGTGAGTACTAGCCACCACTGGTTGCATTTTTTCCAGGATCAAATTTCTGTGCCCTTGGGTTTTTTCAGGCACTTTTGTGTTCAGGGTGGGATATGTAGGCACCCAGTGGAGAACAAGAATGTTATTCGGGAAGAACTGTATGATCTTGTGGGAATAAAGAAGAATAGGTGGGAACCAAGTATTGCGGAGTACAAGAATATATATATGTAATAGAATTCTGCTATATGATTAATTATGTAATTCTGCTATACATAATGGAATGTTGCCAGTTTGAACAGATGAAGAGGAAGGAGAAAGAGCAAACTGTTTTATAATGGGTAAAGGCAGAAGTGAAAGAGCTGGAGAGAAAGTAAACATACAGAAGGAGGCTGAAGCTTCTGGTGGAGTTATGGAAGTGCTAATGCTGCTGGACAGGGCACTGGTGAGGCCTCCCTTGGGTTCTGTGTGTAGTCCTAGCATCTTTTGTCAAAAAAGATAAAGATGGAGTTAGAAGTAACTTTACTACAATAAAAGGAGAAATGGTGAGCCAGTTGGAAAAGAAATGGAAAAGCTTGGCTTGGTTTGTCTAGACCAGCAAGGTAAAAGTATCTGAGATGTGTTTGCTATTTATATTTGAGAGTGAAAGAGAAGAAAAGCTATGCAAGTGTAAGGCTAGTGTTAATGTGATAGTAACGTGGAAGAGAGTGACTGGTATATCTAGGCTGGGAATAGGAGGTAAGTTCCTAATTGTTAATGCAGGCAGGTTCAGGTATGGCCTTCAATAGAGTAGTGGGGGCAAGAAGAATTAATTGCTTGTAAAAAGAGGTCTGTTTACTTTTTTAAAGCAAACTGTTTCAAGCTGTGGGTGCTGTCAAAGGCAGGGGAGAAACCAGGAAGCCCTTTTTGATTCTGTATTTCAAAGAACAGTTGAAAGGTTTGATCTTTTATTAGTTTCATGAGCGCATTCCTGTCTTTCCAGAATTCACCCAGGGCATGATTTTGCCCACAGTGAATGGTGAACATGTGGAAACGACCCCTCAGGTGGCTCCTAAAGCAGAAGACCGCAAGGTAAATGAAACTGTGCAAATGTGCTTTTGGATTTGTGAAGAAAGGTACAGAGTATTACATTCCAGTGCTTACAGGAGCAGCCTGTGCTGTTTATAGGATATATATATATTCAGGAATTGGCAGTCTGTGGTGTAGGCCTGACTGTTTCATTTGCAGTACATGATATTTCTTAATTTAAGCAGAGTGATAAATCTGCTTTTTACACTCAAACATGGTTGTACCTAATGACATCTTTACTAAAGGCCTTTGTTTTTTTTCTTTTGGATATGTGAACCACTTGTTAATTTTATTCCTTTTCTGGACTGAAAAAAGGAATGTGTTTGTTTTGCTGTTGTTTTGTTAGACGGCTGCTAGCAGCAGTACTGCCACATCGCAGTCCAAATCCATAGGAGTCAAGATCCCTACATGTAAGATCAGCTTGAAAGACACCTTCTTAACATCTCCTGAAGAGCTCTACCGGGTATTCATTACTCAGGAGGTAATGTCAGGCTTGTTCTCAGAATTATTCTTTGCACACAGGAGGCTGTTCCTAAGAAGCTTTTCAAGGCATTCTGTAGGACACTCGCAATCCATGAGAATGGAATAAGAAAGTTGATCTGCAGAATGCTTGCTTAAGGTTCACATGTGCATCTTTTCACACAGTTGGTTAGAGAGAATTAATGCCAGCCAGAAGCCAGTTCTGGCCTGCTGTCAGCACCTCTGTAGGTGTATCTGTTATTGCTTATGGTCGGATCTCTTGGTATTTGCAGTTGTGTGCTTTTTTGTTTTGTTTTGCTTTTTCCTCTTCAGGTTCGGTTGTATCAAAGTGCATTTTGTGAATAGCTCCTCTCTTGCAGACTATTATATAGTATAAGAAGAAAAAGCAGCATTTCTTACATTATTTAAACATGGTCTTAGAACAAAGGTTCTTCCTTTGTTTTTCTAGTAAGAGTAAAAAATATGACCTTTTCTGAGAACAAGGTTTCATTGAGAAATCAACAGAGTAAATCAAAAGTGTGGCTTGCAGAACACTGCACAGAATATGGAAGTTAAGGATTCTTTTCCCTTGGCAGACAGAATGCTGCTGTAGTGGCTCTAACCTCGCTTTTTTGGCCAGGGCAGGGCTTTTGTGTTTTCTTGATGAAGACCTTATGCTATTGACATACCTCATCTTCAAGAACTTTTGTAGCTGGGTGGGAAACGTTAGGCAACAAGTTTGCAAGCAGATGATGTCAAGTAATACAGGTTTCCTCCTGAATTCTTTTCAGATGGTCCAAGCTTTCACTCATGCACAAGCCACCTTGGAGGCTGATAAAGGAGGCAAGTTTCAGCTGCTGGATGGCAGTGTCACAGGAGAGTTTGTTGACCTAGTAAGTACTAACTAGGGCAGCTGTATCTTGCTCATGGGCAGCCTGGAGGTGCCAGTTCTGAATCAGTGCTTCAGTTAGCTCACTGTGAAGTTCTGCCTGGTGCCCAGC